CTATGTAGGTATTTTTAATGCCTGTCACTGGGTCAGATTCCCTTTGAAACCAATAAAATAAGGAGGTAGAAATACTACCGCTTTTGTCTAGAGGGGCCTCCAGAATCATCACAAAATAAAAGTTCCTATAGTGGCTTTAATATAACAATAATAATAAGTACTCCTCAATAACTTAAATTGTCATATAAAAGTGCATTTATAACTGTTTTCACAGCTGCAAATAAGTAACAATCATGAAGAGTGAACTGATGTTGGTGTATAATCTGTAAAAGTGCAGATTCACACTAATCCTTTCTGGAAAGCTGTTGGGAGCATTGATTTCCACTCAGGGATCAATACATGTGGTCATCACACAGAGGTCAGTACACTCAGTGTACACGGTACGATATTATTTTGGTGTTGAAATGACTCAGGAGTATTTGGATCTGCCTGCTCTTCATCCATTACAGGTGGTTTGTACTCAGATCAGTCATTTTTAGAATTCAGTCTGCTCAACTCTATATATTATATCATTTATACACACAGCCTCCAGCAGGCATTCAGATATAAATGAGCGGGAAGTATCTGATGTACAGGCCAGAAACCTTCAGTCAACTGAAACAACTTTGATTACCTTATTGTAGCATTTATTGTTTACAGTGAGCTAAGGCAGTGTATTGGCAAGAATCTGGCAACAATAGTATAATATATATATATATATATATATATATATATACAATATATAAAGAACGCACTACCAAATCCATAAAATCTGAGTTAAAAAAGAGTTAAAAAACGTTTTTATGCAACCACAAAAGTGGGATTTGCATTTGTATTTATCAGTCCCTGTAACAGCCAACACCATAGCTCTCAGTTTACATTTACAACACTGCTATCTAGCGTATATATTTTCTTAAATCCCTATTCATACACAATTCAGGGACAATGCATTTAATGTTGATATAATATGTGCAATTTGATTCAATACAATCTACTACAGTTACATTTGTTTAATGTAAACATTTATTTTCCATTCTAAACTAAAATTATGTAACATGGATTACATTCAAACATATTTTTTTTAAATACCAAAGAATTCCAAGTATTTATTTCTTTATGAGAAAAAAATGGAAGACAAATGTTTCATTTCAGAATTACATGTCATTGTGTTCATTGCTTTTTCACTTGACACAGAAAGAAAAGACTTTCTGTAGACTATGAACAAACATTTTGACATTATGAATATAAACTGATGTCTGTCTCACACACACATGCTCAGGTGCCTTACTTTGGCAGTTAGTTGGGGGAGAAATATGAAAAAATATATAATAAAAAAAAGTTTTAGACCTTTAGTACTTTGCAAATCATGACCTTGTCCATCTAACACTCAAAACAAAATGAATATCAAATTTCACTAATGGCACCAATTAGAGCCAAAGAAATAGAAAAGGAGATGAAAAAACCAACTATTGGACAGATTCTGTGAGTCAGATGGGAGAAAATGAGCATGCTGTTGAGATAAAATGATCATAAAATAAAACAGCATTTCGAAGACATCCATTTTCTGATTTCGTAATGTTGTAACTGCTTCAGCCAAGTCATGTGGACTCGAGAGAGGTAAGGTAACACAACAGTAACATAAGTTTGTAAGTCTCACTGAAAACAGGATACAGTAAAGTACCAAAGCAGCTATAGGAAGCATTGCAAGTGTA